GGGGGTATTATTACATGCCCCCCCCCCGGGAGCCTTCGCCTCGGCGGGCCCGGAGAAACCCCTCCGCATCCCGGGCGGCTCCGGGGCCGCAGACCCTCCCCGCAGCCGAAGCCCCCGCCCCGCCTGCCTTCCGCCCGGCGGGCCCCCCGGGCTCCTCTCCCCGGGAAAGCGGCCGGGCCGGGCGGGGGCCTGTTCCGCGGAGCCCCCCGCAGCGCCCTCCTCGGGACGGCCGGTCAAGGGCGCGCCGCTGCCCGCCGCCCGGCCCCGCCGACTTCCGGCCGACCCTCCAGGCTGGCCCCCCGCTCGCCCTCCCAGGCTGCCCTGCCCGGCGGGCGCTGCTCACCTGCGGGCTCCGGCCAGGCGCGCCGGGCGACGGCGGCCTCCTCCTCCTCCTCCTCCTCCTGGAGCCTCGGGCGGCGGGGCTCCGGGCCGGCTCGGCTGGGCGCTGCTCTGCCGGGCTGCCTTCCGCGCTGGCTGCTCCGAGGCCGCCGCGGCCACTCAGCCCCTCCGGCAGCCAGCAGGGCGAGCCAGGCGGCCGAGGACGCGGGGCAGCTGCGGCGGGGAACCAATCGCCGCGCCGGGCAGGGAGGGAGGGAGGGAGGGAGGGCCGCCTCCTCCGCCGCCGCCCCCTCCCCCTCCCGCCGCCGCCGCCTCGCCCGTATCCCTCCGCCCTCCGCACCGGCCCGGGCCAGGCGGGGCGAGCCGGGGAGGCGCCTGGCCGAGGGCGAAGGGCGCCCAGAGGGGTCGCTCCGGCGGGGCCGCCGCGCGCGGAGCCCGGGAGCGGACCGGGCGGGCGGGGTCCCCGCGACCCTCTAGCCGGGCGCGGCGCTGGCGGGGGTCGGGCTGGGAGCAGCGGGGCGCCCGAGCGGGAAGGGGGCCGCGGGGGAGCCGCCCTGCTTCGCCGGCCGGGCCGTCAGGAGCGGAACTCGGCGCTCAACCGGCAGCAGCGACTCGAGGGCTTTCTGGGGCGACGCGGGCCAAGCTTGGCGGCCGCATTTGCGCGACACGTGAAGCCCGAACCGGGTCGTGGGAATGCGCCGGGCGGGGGGGGGGGCAGCCGGGCGGGGACTACATTGCACGCGCGGCGGAGGGACACGGTGTTTACGAGAGGAGGCCGGATCTAGCCGGGACCTCGACGGAGGAGGACCTCGGCTCTGCCCCCTGGCGGCCGGCCGACGGCTGTGCGTGGCCCCGCCCCGCGGCATTGGCGTCATGCGTGCGTCACCGTCGTCTGCGCGACCAGACGGTGCTCTGCTTACGCCCCCTCGCGGGAGACGGCGGCCAAGCTCTCCCGGCTCCTCCTCTTCGGGACGCGCCTGCGCGGGGGACGCGCGAGGCCAGGCGGCCGGGGCGGGCGAGTCGTGGGAACCCGTGTTCAAAAGCGTGTTGCCTGCCATGTCTGACGGGGGGTGGGGGGGGGAAAGGGGAAGGCTACAGCGAGAAGGATGGTTGCCTCCCGGGAAATGGAGCCCTGAAACGTTTCCTTAATACGATGACTTTGTTTCCCTTTTTCTACCTCTACCAATTCCTTGGATGAAGTCGCTAGATTTTGCAAAATAAAAACACTGCATGAATTCGTTTATTTGCTCATACGACTCCCGCCCTCCCGAACAAAAAAACCAAACTAGGACGGAAACTTTAGGGTGGTCCCGGGGTCTGACCCCCCGGAGGCCACTTGCCCAGGTCTCTCCTGCCCCCGAGCCAGCCACTCTCTCGGCTCTCTTTGGAAAGGTCTTCCCACCCCACGAGCCCCCTCCCTCCCTCCCTTCCTGTGTCTCAGCTGGGGAATTCTGGGAGTTGAAGTCCTCCAGGCTTAAAGTGGCCAAGGTTGGGGGGCCTCTCTTGGGACCCTTATGGGCCGATGTCAACTCTCCTCTCCTGGGGACGGTTCGCTCCGAACTGGCCTTTTCCAGCCCCCTTCCCCTTTCAGGACCAAAGCCGCCTGCCTTCACAACTAGGCGAAACGGAGCAAAGGGCCCACCTTCTGGATTCATCCTGGCCCAAGTCCGTCTGTCTGTCTCTCTTGTGCTGCTGGCCCACTGCGGAAGAGACCCCCCTGGGCCCGCCCGGTTCAGGAGAGGCAGAATTTTAGGCCAAACTGTCCTGGGGATCCTAAGTATCCAGATAGTGCAAATGAACCTAAACGTGACTTCTAGAGGTGTATCTGCCCACCTTTTTCTGGCCTCGAGCGCTGTGACCTCAACTCCCAGGGCTGCCTTAGCTCTTTAGGCAGCCGGTGGAACCGTGATCGCCCCACTCCAATGGCAAGGAGGCGAATGAAGGCCATTCCTCTGCTGCTCTTTCCCCTCAAACCTCCTGTCCGCGTTCAGTAGACCTCAAGGCTATTTTTGGCCTGCTTAATTATAGGGGGGGAAATCCATCAGCACGCAGGACAGATGCCTTCACAGAGAAGCCTGCTCCCTCTCCACCAGCCGGCAGCGGCAGCCATCGGTGGAGAATCACTGTGAGGTGGCTGCACTTCCAAAGGCCTGAGAGAAAATAAATACAATTAAACATTGGGGGGGGGCAGGGGGGCAAGGGTCAGCAAGATCTGCCTTATCTACTGCCTTTGGGGGATTTCTGTCTGCCGATCTATCCGACCCGCCTCTTACTTGGGGGAGAAGCCGCCGCCTCCACTCCAATCTCAGTATTACGTATCCTGTTACATTTATCCAACATTGTACTATCTGCTTATTTATTTATCCAACACATATGCTGCCAAATCATAAATGATTCACACTGGCTTACCACAAAATTAAACAAAATCAGCAGATCAAAATAAATAAAACACAATTGTAATATATAGGTAAATTAATTAACCAATAAATCCAGTTCTAGCAGGACTCACTCAGTTCACACACACACACACACACACACACACACACACGAGTTCCCAAAATCACTCTGGAAGAGTTCAGGTTTCTCAAGCAATGAGGCCAGCTAGAATATGGGAGGAGAGAGAGAGAGAGAGAGAGAGAGAGAGAGAGAGAGAGAGAGAGAGAGAAAGGTGCCATTTCTGGCTCTGCCACCCCACAGAAAGCAGGAACTGCAAGCCCCAATGTCAGGGGGGAAAAAAACACACACACACACTCACACACACACACTAACCAGCAAACTGCAGCCATGAGATGAGACCCAAGTAATGAAAGGGGGAAAGGAAGCTCTAAAGAGGCCCTCCATGCCTTGGTCTCTTCCCTCCTAGATTACTGCAGCATCCTCTACACGGGGCAGCCTTTGAAGCCCCCCCCCCCCCCAAGTTACAACGGGCCCAGAATGTGGCAGCGCATGCAGTGAGGAGTTTCCCCATCTACCCATGTGGGTACATTACACCCCTGTTGTGTGAATTGGACAGGCTCCCAGTACCTTCCGGGTGCAATTCAAGATGCTGGCTACGACAGCAAAGTAGGAATCTCCAAACTTGGCAACTGTCAAGTTTGTGGACTTCAACTCCCAGAATTCCTGAACTGGCAAGCGAAGGAATTCTGGAAATTGAAATCCACAATCCACAAGTCAACGGCAGCTTTTATGACCTTCCTCTCGATGCCTTCCCGCTTCTCTGCAGGAGAGAAATGGGGAGAGGTAAGTTCCAGGTGCTTTACTGGACCCCCCCCCCCCACCCAATTCCAGCACCTCAGCTTCCTATATTCAAACCCCCTCAGGAAACCCAGTTTTGCATGTGTCCCGTCTCTCAACACCCTTCATTCTTTCTACTCCTTTCTGCCACCAACTGTTTTTGGGGTTCTCTTGTATACCCTCACCTCTTGCAAAGTGGGCCAAAGCCGCCTCTGATACTCAGCCATTTTTACCTCTTTGCACGTGTATTTGTTGCTGGAAATGGCTTCATGCGCTATCCCATCCTTTATATACATACACTGTAAATGTAGGCGTGTGCTCTAGTTTCCACCATTTATGAATAATGTCCAGTTTCTTGCTTTATTTTTTGCTGGCAAACGCAGCTGCCTTGATCTTCCAGACATTCGTTTTCAAAGCTGCGGTTGCCACTTGCGCGGAATAAAACGGCTCCTCCGCCCACAGCACAACTTTGCCTTGCCTGCCTATGAAAGCGTGCACGCTTTCGCCTACGCAACCAGCAAAATTCTACCCTGCTCCCCTCTCTTACTGGTCAGAATGCTTCTTAATCTCATCCAGGTCAGGGTCAGCCCGGAGGGGAGCGAAAGAGGAAGCAGAAGGTCTTGAGGGAGGGGCCCCAGGGACTGAGAGAGGGCAAGGCTGAAGTGCCAGGAGGAGAGCGGGCAAAGGATGAGAAGCATTTGTAGAGAAGAGGCAACTTCAGGGAGACACCGAAGCTTCCAGAGCTAGTCTAGAAAATGGGGCCTGGTCGTTCAGATTGGTTCCAGAAGGCAGGACTCTCAGGACAGGGTGGAACTCCTTCCGTGGAGGGGCTTATACTGTTTTCCCATGGTGGGGGGTGGATTCCTGGGCAGACTGGATGGCCTCCAAGGTTCCCTCCAACCCTCATGTAAAATTGCACTATGATCTGCATAAATGCTAGAGCAGGGGTCTCCAACCTTGGCCACTTTAAGCCTGGAGGACTTCAACTCCCAGAATTCCCCAGCCAGCTTTGCTGGCTGGGGAATTCTGGGAGTTGAGGTCCTCCAGGCTTAAAGTGGCCAAGGTTGGAGACCCCTGTGCTAGAGCAGGATGAGACGAAGGTGACTTCATCTTGGTCTCTTTCTGCTGCAATGAGAGGCAAGCCATAAAGAAAAGCCTCTTGTTTTCACCCAGACAGTCTCCACTTCGTGCTTCTTAGTAACACGGAGAATAAAGTCGAAATGGGTTTATGGCCAGTCACATCTGTGCTACTCAGGATCCTCTGCCGGTATGAAGGACTTTTGGCCACCATTTCAAAAAAGCCAGCAAGGTGATATTATTACCCCAAGCCCCCCCAAACTCTGTTCTAAGCAAGCCAGGATCTCTAAATGTCCAGAATAAGCCTGCATGCCCCAGTGCCTGACTTTTCATTAGCCAGGAAGGGGGCGTGGGGGGGGGGGCAAGGGGGCTTTGCATGACTTACATCAGTGGCGGCTGACCTTTTGGGGTTCCCATGCTGAAAACTGCACATGCGCACACTCGTGTGCCAGCCCCCAGAAGGCAAGGCATGTGGGGTGGGGGGCACGCCCCCGTGCATGCATGTGCAACTCCCCCACGTGCCCTGCGTGTCTCAGTACATGCGTGCGCATCAGATCCCTGACGATCAGCTGTTGGGCGGGCATGCGCAGTGGGGCTCTTCCGGGTGGACCTCTCAAGTGGCTCTGCATGCCATAGGTCCGCCATCACAGACTGACATCATAAGCAACCGCTGAGCCCAATTTTGGGGAAGTGGAGGACACGCAGAGCCATGAATGAATTCCCCAGGTTGAACATGTCGGACCCCCCCAGGCTGGTTGGTCTGAGATCCCGCAGAAGCCTTGGCTGGCAAGGCCTCAGCCCAAGCCTGAATTAGTGGGGAACGAACGCCAGGCCTTTAAGCCCCTAGAGGTGGAAGAGCCAGGCCAGCCTGGGGTTCGGGGGGAGCCATTCAAGCCCTGCTGGAGCGAAGTGAAGGAGGGGGGGGGGTCAGGCAAACGTGCCCCTCCACCTCCGCTCCTTCCTGCGATGCCCGTATGTTAAGTAGCCCCCTGGGAGGAGCCAAGAGAGGGAGAGAGGAAGAGGAAGGATGGGGGCCAGCAGCTCTGGGCCTCGAACCTGCACTTGCCGATGGGTGGTATTCCATGCCCCCCCACTTCTTAACCCCCCCCCCACACTTCTCCCTCAGTTTGCAACATGACCCTTGATGAAACTCAGCTGCGGTTGCCAAGGCAATCGGATGTCGCCCTGGCAACCGTAACCACCTTATGTTCGTTAGTTTGAAGAAGGTTCACTGTCTAACAAAGGAAATTGCTTTGGGCAGTTGTGCCAGTATAGAAAGGGGGGGGGGCACCACCATCCCACCACCACAATGACCACGGGGCAAAGGACCGATACGGTGCTGCTCTGGCCAGTTTCAGGTCCTTCGTGCCAGAGATGGACGTTTCCAGCAGGGACCAGAGCAGGGCTGGGCAGGGTGTGCCAGGGCCTGTACAACAGGGCACCTCCTCTGCCCACAGAGGAGCCCATAGAGGGGAGGGAGGCGGAGCAAGGCCGCTCCATTGGGGACCAGCCGGCAGCTTCCGAAGAGCTTTTGCCAAGCGGCCATGGTCCTGAAGGCGCTCCGAGAGGCAGTGAACCGTCACCAGGGGAGTTGAGTGTGACTTGCAAGGCCGCAGCTTTTGAACGGAAGGCCAGGCTGCTGCCCGGGGGCCCCCCTGACTCCAGAAAGGACTTCCAACCGAGCTGACCCACTCCTCCGTTGCAAGGAGCTCAGCTCCAAGAGGGGAAGGAATCCTTCTGCTTGAATTCTTTCAGAAAAGGATCGGGGTGCCACCCCCCCCCCACCAAATATAAACAAACAGCCCAACCCCAGAAACGATGGGGGGGAAAAATGGCAATTTAGCTCTCTCTGGCACCATTAATATCCCTAACCACGAAAGTACTAGGAGAAGCCACAGCTGTTTCTAGGGAAGGGGGGGGGGGTTGCAGCACCCATTTGTTCCCCCAGCTGGGTAGCAACCAGGGAGAGGGGGGGGGCTCCCTTTGCAAAGGCCGCATCGCAGTTGTCTGCAGCCAGACCTGCCAGGGATGAAGCTTCCAACATAGCCGCCTTATTTCCTCACCTGGCAAGTGGGGGGGGGGTGTCCTTGCTCTCTGACCCTGCAGGAGCTTCCCTCCTCCAAAGAGGGGAGGGGGTGTCTCACTCTGCAAGGGCCACTTGGAGCGTCCTCGGGGAAGGAGTGGACGAAACACCCGTCGAGGCTGGTTGACCGTCTCAATGGCCAGCCTTTCCGGGACCAACGTCATGACCACCACACACAAAGCTGCCCTTGCAGGCCACCCCTGGGACCCCTGAACTGAGCAGAGCCTCAGTGGGCCTCATCACCCCCCCCCCATGTGGGGTTCCAAGCTTTGCTGGGGCCCCCCTCTTTTTCCCTGCTCTTCCCCTGCCCCTTCCGCTCCGGCTGCCCGAGCCACCCAGGCCACAGATGTCCTGCTTGGGCAGCCTTGGGCAGCCAAGGCACATGGAGGCCCAGCCAGCCAGCCGGGGGTTGAAGGGTGCCTCTGCTTCCTGGCCTGGCTCCCCTCCAGGCCCTACTCATCAGTAGGAAAGAATGGGGAGGGGCCTTCCAGGAAGCAGGATTGGGGCTTCCTCCACCCAGAATGTCCCTTGTGCTGTGTGGCTACAGCCCCCTCTGATCCTCCGAGGGGATCCGTGCAGCCAAAGGACAGGATCAGCCGCTCTTTGGTTTCTAAGACTTGCAAGCCCGGAAGGGCCAGCCAAGCCCCTCCTGCCCCGAGGGTGGCCAGAGGAAGTCCCAGACTGGCACAGTCCTAAGCAGGAAAGGCCTGTGCCAACCTCTGTGGTGGGATTCATCTTTTTTACTACCGGTTCTGTGAGCGTGGCTTGGTAGGTGTGGCTTGGTGGGCCTGGCAGGGGAAGGATATACTGCAAAATCCCCCTTCCCTCCCCACCCCACTAACCTGCTTTCCAGCTCCGTTCTCTTGTGCAGGGCAACCAATCCCAGCCGATCAGCTGGGACTCAATGGGAGGCAGAGAAGAGATGAGGTTGGCGGGGCCAGTCAGAGGCGGGATTGGCTGGTTCTCCAAACTACTCAAAATTTCTGCTACCGGTTCTCCAGAACCGATCAGAACCGGCTGAATCCCACCTCTGCTTTGGTCCCTGGAAAGGCTTGACCAAAGAGGTGGGCCAGGGCGGACAGACAGCAGCTGCGCTCTGGCCAGCCTCAACATCCAACGGGGCCGGCCCCTTTGCCTTGGTGGGGCTTTCTCAGGCCCACCCACCCCCCCCGCCAGACCCATACCCAGCTGTCCCCGCCGCAGGCAGACCCAACGGGCTTGGGTGGGGGGGGGGGGTTGTCGCATGGCAACGGCGATGCTTCTCCAACTGTCCTATCTCTTGCCACAATTCCCTAGAAATACCGAGCCAAAAATAAAAGGAAACAAAAGGATTTCAGTTTCAGCCTGTGAAACTCACCGCCACCAGATGTGGCCTTCTGCTCCAAAGGCTTCGGAAATGGGATCAGGCTAAGCAGCCGGGGGAGGCCTCCCCGCGGCCATTGGGCAGGCGTCGCTCAGGCGCCTCCTTCTTCCAAGCGGCCCCCGTGGCACTTCTTGGGCATCCCAGGGGGCTTCCCTGGACCCCAGTGTGGGTGGGCCAGATCCAAGAGAGCATGCAGGCTGGGGGTCCACCCCCCCCCCCCCCGACCTCTTTCCTCCTCCCCCATGGCCACCCCCTCTGCCTCCTTTTCTGGCTTCCCTTGAAAACAGCGCCACCTAATGGGCAGATCGCCTCCCCAGGCTGAAGCCACTGTTTACATTCAATACAGGGGATTATTCGAAGATACGACTTGGTGCGTTTAATGCTGTGGCCTTTCGATATTGCTAGGAAATTAAGAGCGAGACAGGGGAAGGGGACAGGCATAATTTCCCCTCCCTGCCTGTCTCCTCTGTTTCCCGAATCTATTGGGTAATTTTTACCAAGCTTTTTTAAAAACCACCCATGTTTCTCAACAATAAGAATATCATTCAGAGAATCTTTTCATATTTTCAGTCGGATGAAATGCATTTCTCTGCCATTCTTTAATTAATCCACCCCCCAAATGTTTTCTTTATCCACTAGATTTCATTTATTCGGTTAGATTTTTCTGTTTTCAATTATTAGTTTTAAGGTCTACATTTTAACTGTGAACTGCACAAATCCTGGCGTACGAAACCAAAAACAGAACTCCTTTATAGTTATACCCATAGCAATTTTTAGCAGACAACATTCAGTAATCATATTAAAAAGAACTGAATAATAGAGTTTATTGTAGATCTTAATAAAATGCCCGATTATATTAACAATCTGTGCAAACTTTTTATCTTATTCTTTTGATTGAATACTTAAATTATCAGGGAGGATCCAAAGAATTCGGTTTTCAGTCGCCTTCCAAACGCGGGTATAAAAACCAGGGAGCTTCTTTGGAAAGCTTCTGTGCAACTTCTGTCTCAAACTAGCACTGGGCGGAAGTGCAACCCGCAAATCTGGATTTCTAAAACTCCATTTGAGGAAACCTGATTTTGTGTAAGCTCTCCCTGGGAGTGACGAGAGTTAAAAAGCCCCCCCACCCCCACCTTTCTCTCTCTCAGGCACGCAGACCCCCGCCCCTCTCCTCTCAAAGTACAGGGCAGCTCCAGCGGGTGGGAGGACCAACTGCCCCTCCCGGAGATCAGCGCCAGGAGCCTGTGGGGTCCAAAAGGCGGAGGGGCAGCAGGGGTGGGTGGGTGGGTGGTCATTGGCCTCCTCAGAGTCTGGCAACTGAGAGGCAGATGTTTGAATCTAGAGATGGGGTCGCCAGACTGGTCACATCACTCTGAACCCAGAGGTTTTAGGCTCCCTGGGCTGAGTGACCGGTGGGAGCGTTTGAAGAGGGCTGGACGGCGGGTGAAACGCTTTGCGCTCGGAAAAGCCCGTCCTTTTGGTCTATTGGCCTAGTAGTGTTCTACATGCAAGCGGTTGATAGGGCAAGGGAGCCTTCTGCCATGCAAGGATCTGCCCGGGTGGGGGTCCCGTGGGGTCCCGCTGGGTTTCTTTGAAGCAGGACTGGAGTAAAGTGAGCACCGCTATATATCTCTTTGGCCTCTTCCCAGCGAGGACCTCAATAATCCACAGCTGTCGCCCAAAGCACATTATTTCTTGAAAAACTTCTTGTTCAGAAGGAAGATGAGAAGGTTGACGTTGATTTTGGCTCTGTCAAACATTTTCATGACAGCCACGCCTTCATACTGGAGCTGGAGGAGGTCCTGAAAGGAGAGAAAGGGGTCTGGCGTGGCCCCTCCTGCCTGAGCAGGGAGGGGTCAGACTAGACAACCTCCCAGGTTCCTCCCAACCCTTCTGCAGCAGAACGTCTCCACGTGAACCATCGTTCGCAGGGCCCAGAATGGTTCAGATGGGATTCCTGCAAGTGGTGGGGGGTGGCCTCACTCGGTCGACCACCATAATTAAAATCATTAAATAAGCCCGATTCAGCCGCCCCCCCCTTACCTGGTAACTAAGCTGGAAGTTTTCCATATTGACCCCCATAAACTTCGCCTGGACCTGGAACTTGCCAGCTTCTCGGGAAGGGATAATGTCAAAGATGACATTTCTAAGTCTGAAAAAAAGAACCGGGGGGAGGAATTAAAGCCGTGGCGTTGGGGGTGGCAGGCGCTGCCGGGGGGGCCGGTTTGCTTTTCCCGCAGCAGCCCGAGAGAGAAAAGTTCGGCCCCTCGCTCAGTGCAGCCGGCTGGGATGCCCGGCGTTCTGCTCCCTCCCAGGATGCGCCCCGGGGGGGCCCGGGGGGGGGGGGGGGGGGGGGGGGCGGCAGGAGGGAAGGAGGGGAGGATCTGGACTTACTGGTTTGGCGGGAGGGCCTCGATCTCCAGCAGGACCCCCTTCTCAAACAGGCGGGCCGCTGTGTAGTGCAGCACAGCCTGTTTCTTGCTGGGCCTGAAAGGAAGAAAAAGGGGTCAGCCTGGATGGACGCCAAGTCTCCCCCCCCCCCCCCCCCCCCCCC